TAGTCAGTGTTTGTGTTGCTGTGATAAACACCATGACCAAAAGATACTTGAGGAGGAAAGAGCTTCTTTCATTTACAGCTTTTACTATACACTCCATTCCTGAGGGAAGTTAGGGCTCAAGAGAGGAAGATGGAGGCAGGAACTGAAGCAGAAGCCACGGAGGAACACTGCTTACTGGTTTGCTCTCCAGGGTTAGCTCAAGCTGCTTTCCTGTGTTGTCCAGAACCACAGGCCTCCAGGTCAGACGGCTACCCCGCCCCAACCATGGACTCCGCCCAGCTGAATCAGTCACTAATCAAGAAAATGCCACAAACGGGCCTAGAGGCAATCTTCACATTTTTGTTTTTGTTTTTGCTTCTCTGTTTAGCTCTGGCTGGCCTTGAGCTCACTGAGATCCACCTGCCCCTTCCTCACAAATGCTGGGATTAAAGGCTTCTGCCACCACTGCCCAGCCTGATCACCACCCAGCGACTTTACGGGCCATCTCCTGAGGGAACTTCTCCATTGTGGTTCCCCTTCTCAGATAACAGGTTTCTACCAGGACGACAGAAACAAACCAGGACAAGGTGTGCTCCACAAGTCCTTCTGTCGTCTGTCTCCATACGCACCAGTTTAGAAGGCCTCTTTGGCTGTACTGAGGGCTCTTGTGAGATTTCAACAACATATAAATGGCGCGGGTTCCGAAGCCACATTTCCCCGTTTACATCCATTAGGTACTGCAGAATGAGGAGTTTGAAAAGAAAGACAGGAATCCCAGTCTGTACCTACAGAAGGAGACACAGGTTTGTGAGTGTGTAGGATGGCAGCCATCACTCACACTCTGAGGACTGGCTTGTTTACCCCTTGACAGGATGCAGTTGACCAGGAAGGCGTGAGGAGGGAGGAGGCAGTCAGGCCATGGGAACCTGTCTTCCTCGAGGTCATTGGGTAGTGATGCCAGGACACTTACTGAAGAGCTCACATCAATGTGGAATATCATAGGCGTCTTCTGATAGTTCCTCTTCAAGAACGGCAGGAGGGAGCTCAGGACTCGGTTCTCATCTACGTGAGGGTCTGTCAGTCTAATAATTTTTAAAGGCACCTTTTCATCCGCGAGCTTCATTTTCAGGTTTTCGTGCAATCTGTTCACATAGAGTGACTTTCCTGCAATATGAACATAGACATTAGACCCAAATCTACAGACAGAGAGTAAGACAATAGAGATGCCATAGAAGTTACTCTTTGTTTAATTCAGACAGATGCAATGGACCATCACTGCCTATTGGCTTCGTGTCCTTCGAATCCCTGGGTTCCCTGTCTACCACCCACTGACCAACGTTGCCTCTCCTTGCTACTGGTGGTGCGCCTAAGTCAGGAAGGCAGGAGCAGGTGTGTGGAGGACAAACTCTCTCCCACCTAAGAGTGTGGTTCAGGGAAGAGGGGACAGGATGGAAGGAAACAGACAGCAACCAAAGAATCGTCTGTTTTTTCTCAGCCACAACCAACATAGACAGCAGAGGTCGGGAGTTTACGAGGAAGTCAAACTTCAGAACATCTCCAGAGGGGAGGGAACGGGGCTCTCGGGAACTGCCCAGTTTCCAAAACTAGGCGAGAAAGGGTACTGGTCTACAGCTAAAGAGGAGCCAGACCCCTGAAGAAGGGCTTCATCTGAGTCTCCCCTGCTGGAGGAGGAAGCATCATTGGGCAGGGTTTGGTAAAGGGGACCTCTCTACCCCCAGGTACTTTCATTACCAACACCAGCTCTTTCAGAGGTCACGATCCCAACACACATCCTGTCTCTGAATACAGTCGCCGCTGACGGGGTCTGCTCTGGGACCTGATAATGGTTCTCCAGGTAGGCCTGGATGTCCGGCAGTGGGGCCTGGGGAACCAGGGGGACTTTGTGCTGGCTGAAGGTGGAGGGGAGGTAGCAGTGCTCCCGGGCAGCATCACAGACTATCACCAACTGGTAGTCTTCACGGTGGCACTGTGTGCACAGGTCCCGGAAAAGCTCCTCTGCCCGGCAGCCCACTTCATAACTCAGCTGGTCTGCGAACAGCAAGCTGTAGACCTTGTCTTCCTGGGAGCCCAGTGTGAGGCAGCGTCTCAGGAGCAGTTCCACCTCCTCCACTGTGGTCCCCGGGGTGCAGAGCAACACCTCATCGAAGGTTGGCAGAGGCTGCCTGGGGGCCTGCATATAGATGGCCAGTGCGGCCAGCAACACCTCAGAGTGACCACACAACACCAGGTTAGGCTGGCCAACCTGCAGGCCTTTGGGGAGTGGTCGCTTCACAGGACAGTCCGCCAGTGTGGCCAGCTGAGCCAGGTAGCTGCCCAGGGCATCCAGGTCCAGGCAGTCGGGCAGGAAGGCACTCATGCACACTATGGATTGTTCCATGATAACCCGAAGTTTGCCCATTAAGCTGGACTCAGAAAGTAGCTGCCGAGGCAGATTTTCCACAGCCTCCCTCCGGCGGTGTCTGGCACCATTGCTTTCACAGGACCCGGTGACTTCTGAGATGTCACGTACAGTGCAGTTGTTTTTGATGAAGGACAGCATCATGAGGGCAGCTTCGCTGGGTCTGGGTTTCCCGAGCTCACTGCTCAGATAGACCAGCTGCTCAGCTGTGTAGAAGTTGAGGTAAAAGTGTTTGGCTCTCTTCTGAGTGACTACCGCTTTCCAGTGGTCTAGGAAGTCCTCCATCTGCCTGCAGAGGGCTCCCAGGAGCTCGATGATATCACCACTCTCTTTCAACTGGTTCACCAGCTCCAAGCCAAAGTCCATGAGGATGGAGATGCCCTGCCTGGGGCAACAGTAGATCTCAGCAGTCCAAGTCCTGAAGAGCATGTTGCCTGCACAGTGCAGGTTTATGAAGGCATGCACAAGCCGCTGCATGCTGCTGAAGACCTGGGGGAATGGGAGCCATGAGGCCAAGGGAAGACACAGGGACCTACACATGCTGACCCGCTTTCCAGCTCCAAGATCTTAGACTCCTGTCACTGACTCATTGGAGCACACTCACAGAAATCTACCTAATAGTCATTATACAACAGCTATTCCTTCCATAGTTAAAGAGTAA